GATGACCAGCTGCGAAAAGATGCTAAGCACGTCAAGTGGTCCTGTGAGAACGGCTTTCTGGAGGAAGAAAGTTATGGGAGTGTGAGACACGTGATGATGGAACTCTCAAACCTTGTCTCCACACCTGCTGGGCTGATGGAAGCTGCCTCGCACGGGGCGGTCCTGACATCGGATGATGTCCACTGGCTCACGAGTCACATGAAAGGCCAGGATGTCATGAGCCTGCACTTGTCGGACTTTGAAGACGCAGAGTTTGGTGTTTCCAACGGTGCTTGCGAGAACGCCGATATTGGCTGTGACGAAGGTGGAAGCTTTGGGGCGGGCACGCCTTGGACTAATGCCGTGGTGAAGTTTTGCTTTGACATCCACATTGCCCCAAGTGCTCGGGAAGCCTTGACATGTGCCATGCAGAAGGTCTCCAGTCATTTGCCTGGCATCGTGTTCCAGAACGTGCGGTACACCGGGGTCGACACTTGTGGTCAGTCGCCGGCCATCTTCATGCAGTCGAACGGCCGCCGCAGCGGCAGGGGCTGCTGGGCGGACATTGGCATGTCGACTTCCATGTTCGGAGGGAATCAGAAGTTGAACATCCAAACTCCTGGCTGTGACAATTGCGGCACCGCAACTCACGAGCTCCTCCATGGCCTCGGAATGGCGCACGAGCAGGCAAGATCCGATCGGGACCAATATGTCACCATTCTATGGAACAACATCAAATCTGGAATGGACAATCAGTTTACCAAGAACTCAAAAGCAGATACTAACCGCCCTTATGACCTCATGTCCATCATGCACTACGGCTCCCGATCGTTTTCGAAGAACGGCCGGGACACTATGCTGGTGAAGCCTGCGGCTTACGACGTTTACACAACAGACCCATCACAATATCAATTCTACCGGATCGGTCAGCGCTTGGGAATGAGCACGCAAGATGTGTCTCAACTCTCGGACATGTACGGATGCGACGACTTTGGCCGTTGCGAACCTGTGACAAGCAGTGGTGGCAACTTCCTCGCCGACGTCTTGTCTCCCGCGGGCCTCTCTTCCGGTTCAGGTTTCTAGGTGGGCACTGGGAACTGTCCATTTTCTCTTATCGGGTGACTTTCATCTATCCTAAATGCTTGCCAACACCATCTTGAGGGTTCCTTATTGTAAGTATTCTATAATATACCCCAGCACCCCATTCTTATTATTAAGGCCTCTATATTACTATATACTATTTTTCAGAGGCTTGGAAGGGCCAGCCTAGGTTTGATCATCGTGATTGTAGTGGCCTTGGTGGTCCTCCTTGCCGGCGGCGCGGTTTTCTTCTGCTTCTGCAGTGGCAGCCGTCAGGCCAAGGCGGTGAGACCGTATGAGAGAATGGGACCATGAGACTCCCTTGGCTTTAAAACGCCCAAAGTGGCTGAATGAATTCGACATTGAAGTTGACATGAACCGTCGGCTAAGGCTATCACCAATCAGCCGACTCAAGGTCGGCGATGACTTGGATGTTGTACATGATATGCAGTGGTCGCAGAAAGCCATCATTGATTCGCGCGCTTGTCTGTGAAAGATTCATAGGCAGGTCCCGCACATTAAGATGTCATGCCAACTAATGTCGTCTGTATTCTAGAGGTGGTGTAGTGTCCCCCCTTGCGGTCGATGCCACATCTGCGCAACTGCACCTGTGGCTAGGAACTGCTTGCACCGCAGATTTGAAGCATGCTGCAACAAGCCGTCGTTTCACCAAGACCGGAGAAGTAAACACGGAAAAGTGTGGGGCCGTGCAGGCTTTTGTTCAGCTACGCATAACATTTGTAGTAATGACGTTAACCATAATCTCAATAATCGTAATTAGTAGTAGTGGTAGCTTCGACAAGTGAGGCAAGGTTCAGCAGAACTCCCTGCAAAGAGGTGGTTGATTTAGCAGGCTGTTTCGGATCATACGAACTACACACCCTCTATCGGGTTATCTGTCGATCCCTCATACGCTCCAGCTCATGGCGCCCATGCTGAGCCCTGAACCTTTTTGATGCTTTCAAGGAGGCTCGTGCCTGTATGGTGGAAGCCACGAGGAGGCCAGTTGGGCTGAAGGCTTCTGGATGTGGATGGGGGATTCAACGTTGCCGGTCTGGTTTTTGGTAATCTCGGGACCTGAACAGTTAGAATAGGGTTGTAGGGTTTTGGGGTTCCTTAACATGATCATAGTATATTACCAAGGCCTCCACATCATGCAAGCTATTCGTGCTCTTAAATTGGCCTCGGCTTCACAGGTGCCGCCAGAACTGGCGGATGTGGGCCGCCTGGCCTTTCAAGACCGAAGCCAAGCGGTTCTAGCCCCCATGCATGACATGGACTCTGACCTTTTTGCTGCTAGGGCTAGGGTTGGCTTTTCGTAGTTTAGGGCTTGGGTTTGTGGCGTAGGACTGCGAATTGCGAGCCCCCTTGCGTGCCATATGTTGGGGTGCTTGGGGGGTAGAAAAATCTACATCATATATATATATATATATATGTGTATATATATATATGTATATATATGTATATATATATATATGTATATATATCATACGGAGGATGCATGCTCTTTCACAAATCAGTCGCGACCATGTTTTTCGGGTTCTGCAAGAGCGTTCTACCTATGGCTTTCCCAAGCCTGAAGGGGAGCTGTTGGGTTGGGAATGGTTCTGGAATTGAGCTATGCGCCGGGTGGCTTCAGGGCACGATTGCAGGGGCCAGGGGCAAGAAGGGTTCAGAAGGCTGCGCGCAAAATGAGATTGTTTCAGAGGCTGGTTTGAATTTCTTGGGCCTTGCCATGACTTGTGGTCCTCTTTAGCGCTCTCCTGCAAACCAAGCACTTTAGAAGATGGTCAACATCTCCACCCTCTGCTGGGAACAGTCTTACTTCCTGAAATCCTAAAGCTCTAAGCTCCCAAACCGTCTGTTTAACCAAATACCCTGCAGTGCGGGCTTCGTCCTTGCCAAGTCTTCGGGAAGAATAAACCCCATAAGCCCTAGTCGCAGAGACAAGCCCGGTGTTTACTGCATCCCCGCGTAAGTGGGCCCCCCAAGGAGACTGGGTAGGGCTTTGGGACATTTTACATTTTCCCTTATTGGGTTTAAGAGGATCTTATTTACTAATATTTTTCAAAGGCTTTAAAAGCCCCACCTAGTCTACCCTAAACCCTAAACCCTAAACCCTATACTAACCCTAAAGCCATAAGTGGGCCCCCCCCAAGGAGAGCTTCATGGGCATCTGCATGAAGCCTCGTCCTGAGCTTCGGGACTCAGGAGTTTCGGCTTTGGGGCCGGAAGTTTTCCGGGTTTCGGTTTATTTTCCTTCTACCAAGCGTCGAATATGGGGTTTTAAATATATTACCAATACTAGTTTAAGGGTTCCTGACTCCTTACTACGTGTGGTTATAAGATACCCCACAACTCTAGTCTAATCATTATATAAGGCCCCGATATTAGACCGGTCGTGCAGGCTTCAGAATGGGTTAATTAAAGGGGATTTACTTCAGCCTAAAGCTCAGGGCACTTCGTTCCTCGGCTGCTTGTACTTAGAGGATCATGGGACTTAGTAAGTAAGGTTATAAGTAGCCTAATTGAGGTTATGAGTAATTATAACTATAATTACCGTATTTATAACCCTCGTTACTCAGTCCCATGATCCTCCAAGTACTGCTATCCTGCGCCAGGCTCCGAGACATCCCCGGTGTCATCCAAGCCTTGCCTCTCGCCCGCGAGCATGAGAAGCAGACAGATTGAACACACAGTCGCGACATAGGTGTAGCATCAGAAATAAGGAGGCTAGCTCATACAGTCTGCCATGTACAGACAATGGTAAGACTGATGGTTAAAATGGAAAATCGACACGCAAATTCAAACACACATCCATCCCATCCCATCCCATCCCATCCCATCCCATCCCATCCCATCCCATCCCATCCCATCCCATCCCATCCCATCCCATCCCATCCCATCCATCCGTCCATCCATCCATCCATCCACCCACGCAGGCATGCCTGCATGCATAATATATGTATGCGCACACACACACACATGCGTCTGTGGACATCTGTGTTCATTCCATGCCCTACATATACATATACTGTGCTTGGTACGAGAGAAAGTTCCAGATGAAACTCCCAGCGCCCGAACCGTTGCGCGAATTTGTCTGCCTTTCCTGGGTCGAGGCCAGCAAAATCCTTGAAGCGGCCCTGCATTAAATGCGATAGTAGTTAAACAAAAGCTAGCAGTACCATTACCATGCTGATCTGTAGAAGCGGAATCCGAGTAACATATAACAATCACAGCGGTAGAACGACCAATAGACATGATATTTCCAAAGACTGGTCTTGCTGAGTGCTGATCGTACCACTAATCATAAGAACAGTAAAGATGAAGGCGTCGCCTGGTGGAGCTTGGGCAGATGGGCCGAGTGAAGCGAAGCGTCCTGACCCTGGTCACACAGGAACTGGCCCGGGTTTGGGTTGAAGGCTCAGGCTTTGTGACTGCTGTGCTAGGAATCCGGGAGCGGGGTGGAACCGGCTGGCGAGGCGTTGACTGACAGCCCATTATTCCCCCATGTCTCTCCCTGCATTTGCTCATTTCCCTTTATGGTAGTATAGTATTATGGTATTATAGTATTATTATAGGATTTCCCTTTGGGAACATTTTGCCATTTTTCCGAAAGCTCGCAGGCCGTCATCGTCGACGCAGACGGGCTTTACGAAGGCCGCACTGGCAGGACCGTGCTTTTGCCATGTGCCAAAAAAGCAGGGGATCCAGGTTGCTTCGGCCAAGAGATACTGTGCTGTATAAGTGCTTCCTTGGATATGAACCGAACTGATACAAGTAGAGACTGTTTCGGCAGTTTAGGGAGTTGGCTGATTCGTTTGACGGTGCGTATGACAGTACGTATATGATGGGGTGCAGCCAAAGCGGCTCCTCACGGCCAGGCCGTATACAACTTGTATACAGTGCGTCTTATATATGCTGCCTGGCACAGCATCGTGATGGCGTCGGCTATCGTGCCCGACACACTCTACCTCGGGCCAGAGGTAGCGGTCGCTGAGACGGTCGGAAGTCTGCGGTGCACGGGCCACAGCGTGCTCGTGATCCGCTGCATGGAGTGCGAACCTGACACACCGGCCTACGTTGCTGCACTGGCCCCGAACGAGCTTGATTGCTCAGCTTCCAAAACGGAGCTTCTGCATCTGGTGCTGCGAGACGAGGCTGAGCAAGCGCTGATGGATGCAATCGATTCTGCGACTGCAGCAGTGGCAAGGTGGCTGTGTCTCCCTCAAGAGGCAGGACGAGAAGGGGCCACTGGCGAAATTGAAGATGCTGGTGACTGCAAACCTGCCTCTGCAAAGCTGGAGTGCCCGCGCCATGCTGTGGTCGTGCACTGCGCCGCCGGTGTGAGCCGCAGTGCATCCATAGTAACAGCACTTGTTATGACGTTCGGTGTCAGACTTTGTGGCTCCGCAGTCCTGGATCCACAGCTCAGTGGCCCACAGCCGCGGAGTGATGGTGGTCCTGTCGGCCTGGAGCGCGCTTTAAGCTTCGTCGCAAGTAGACGCCCAGTCATCTCTCCGAATGAAGGCTTCCTCGAGCAGCTGATGGCATACGAGGCGCGGCTGCGCGCAGGTGGCGGCGACGACGGCTTGCAGCCGAGCTTTGATCCGATCCTGAACAAGGTACGCACAGTCGCAGCGGTGTGTGCGGTGACTCCCGAGCTGGCTCGCCGTGCTCTCGACAGTGCAGGGATGGATATCAACAGGGCGGCAGAATTTATCTTCACCGGTGTGGTGAGATAACTACGCAGAACTTCTAGACCGGATAGACAGATCAGCCTCCTCCGCAAGCTTGGAAATCGTCGGGCTTTGCGCATGCGGCGATGCTGCTGCAACCCTGCTACTTTGGTTTTCGCCCGACATCATCCATACGCTAAGCAGGAGCTAAGAAAGCGACAGCACCGGAGATCGTTTGCAAGATGGCTTTGGGACACAGACGGTTGGACATGCTGCTGCTTTCACACAAGCTCTTATCCGTTGGCATGCCCTGATGGCGTGGCTGGGCTGTCGAGGCGAAGTCAGTACTTGGCCAAGGGTCTTCTCTGGCTTCAGGTCTCGTCCTGCACCCTCCTACAGGCCTCGCCCGGTACCTCCCGAGAGTGAGTCTGAAAAAACCCTTGCACCACTGTTACCACTGTGGGTTTTGTAGTCAGAGCAGATCCAAGCAGGAGCTGTATGAGGCAGCTCCTCGACTTCTACAAGTTCGCCACGGACCACACCGCATCGCGTCATGACTTCTGGAGTACCTCGGATCGATACAGTCTGCAGTGCTTCGAGGTAGCTGAGGCGGCTGAGGTTGATGCAGAGAGCTATTTCAGATGAATGCGCCTTTTTCAGTATTGGCCAGTGCCGCTGCTGCTGCTGCTTCTAACAGTACGAAGACTGTAGCGCATTCGTCACGATTTCGGTCACTGTTCTGGGAAGGTCGCCATGGCGTCCTTTGCCAATACTCAGGAGCAAGCACAAACCAGATGCTGACAACATACTGATGTAGTTATTTCGGCGATGACTAGCCGAATAGCGGGCTGGAGCTCAGGGCCGGCCATGCCGAAAGTCTCGTGTTGCCTAGTTTTTGTGTGTTGCTCGTCGTCGTCATCATCGTCGTGGTTGCGTTTGGGTATGGTTGTGGCCTGACGTGGTCTGTAGTAAAGGCCCCTACAGGACTTGTCCATCTTGACCTTTGTGTCTTTCAACCTGACTTGCGTCGCAGGCCAGTATGCGAACCTCCAGGACGCGAATCAAAACGGGTTGCCGGAGCTTGGTCATCCTTAAGACAAGGACTTTGTGGCATATTACGGTCTTACTATGTGGGGACTCTACAGGGATACAGTATTCTTCAGGTCGAAGCAGGCTTGTTCTCAATACTCCGCGGATTGCTCTTCATATGCAGGGCCTGATCAAGCCGAGAGCTCTTTTTTACTGAATGCGGAGAGCCATGAGACCACCAGAGCCGAGCTCTTCAGTCAGAGCGTGGCCAAAGTTGGGGGTCCGCTCTACTGCTTGTCCTTTGGGTTCCCTACAAACGAGAGGAAAGAAGCATTATCCTTTTTCCTTCCCTCGTTTGTCATAACAGGGACCCCGTAGCAGGTATGGACAACAACTACGATGAGGCAATGACTACTTTTGCACACTTGTACTTCAACTTCCAAAGAAGTAGTCAGGAATGGACGCTTGGTCTTGCCGTTATGCTGCTGCCCAAAGCCCTAAGCTCCCTCAACTCTCTAAAGCCACTACACACTTACGGAGGAAGTTTCAGATGAAAAACTCTAAGCCGCAAAACCCCTAAAGAAGAAGTTTCAGAGTGAAAATCTCTACATCCACTAACCCTCTAAAAGAGGAGGCTGCAGGCGATGTCTCCGGCGCCTTAGAAAGCCGGCTGCGAGAAAGCAGGGCTCTTCAGGCTCGGGGGGCATCGGAGAGGGTTCATGGCGCAGTGAGGTTTTCTTGGTGTTCGGGCTTTGAGCTTTAGGGTCATAGGGTTGCAGCTTTGGGTTTAGTGTTAACTCCAGGTGTTAAAAAGGGTTTAGAGGATTCTTGTTTGCTGGGGTTCTGTAAGGAGCTAGTTAACCAGTCAGCGGGTTTCTTCTGGACCAGTTGCATTCCTACATCTTCTCGAGGGCTTAAAGTCGTCGATTACCGAAGAACGTGCTATTGGAATATGGAGTCTGTGGCATGGAATATTGAACATATGTGGGTAAGTTACAAAGCTTACACACCGCATGACAGGCACACGGTATTTCATGTTTCACATACACGCAGAGGCATGCACATACATGCGTGCATGCATGCAGGAATATGTAAGCACATCAGCTTTTCTGATCGTTCGCCAGGCGCGTTTGTGGGCCGGGGCCCAAGCTTCTCCAGCCTCCATGGCCCGAGACCCTACAGTCCCTATTTCGTAAATACAGAAAGCATCCCAAAGCTCCAAACACGAAACCCTAACCCAACGGCCAAACTCTCACCATGTGGTGAAACCCTAAACCAAGAGAAGTGTATCAAAACCTTCTTGGCTCTAGTTGCCACAAGTGCTTACCCAATAGGGTTGAAGAAGCGGTTACGAGCGGATTCAATCAAGCCCTCAAAACAACAATAACCCTAAACCCTAAACCGGTTTCGAAGACGACCGGGCCAAGGATGAGAACGACCCTGCGGTCTTCAGCGACCTCCTGCAGGACTGGAGCTTTAGTAGCACTTGTACTTGTGTTGGTGACAGTAGCAGTAGGAGTAGCAGTAGTAGTAGTAGTAGTAGTAGTAGTAGTAGTAGTAGTAGTAGTAGTAGTAGTAGTAGTAGTAGTAGTAGTAGTAGTAGTAGTAGTAGTAGTAGTACTAGTAGCAGTAGTAGTAGTAGTAGTAGTAGTAGTAGTAGTAGTAGTAGTAGTAGTAGTAGTAGTAGTAGTACTAGTAGTAGTAGTAGTAGTAGTAGTAGTAGTAGCAGTAGTACGAGCTCTGCACGTATTTGACGCCGTGCTTTTCGTGCATTCACATGCAGAAAGACACGGCAGGGACGGCATTTCAGCATTCACACGTTGCTCCAAGCCCAGCGCCCTGAAACGTGGTTTGTTTTGGTTCAAGTGGAAGTCATGCCTCAAGCGAAGCATTTTGTGTATCACTGTGATGATGATGTTGATGAATATCATGATTTTAAGTGTTACTGTTATGATGATGATGGATGAGTATGATGGTTGGTAGTGTTATGATGACGATGAGGAGGATGATTATGATGATCTTGAGTGCTACTGTTATGATGATGATGATGATGATGAGTGTGATGATCTTGAGTGCTACTGTTTTGATGATGATGATGATGATGTTGTTGAACATGCTCGCGATTAGCCCCCCCGCCTCACCCCAGGTCACCCACGTTTTCACTGCAAAGGAAATACTGTAAATGCCAGCACATTCAGGCCCACGTGTTATGACTGTATTTTAGGTCGTTGAGGCGCTCGGGTCCGCATGGTCCTTGTTTAAAGAGATAAAGACGTAGAAACACGCAAATACTGTAAATACCAACACATCCAGGCCCTCAAACAAAGTCGTGGAAGTCCTAAAGACAGGAAAACATGGCGTCGAATAAGGGCAAAACGTAGTACTAGTAGTAGTAGTAGTAGTAGTAGTAGTAGTAGTAGTAGTAGTAGTAGTAGTAGTAGTAGTAGTAGTAGTAGTAGTAGTAGTAGTAGTAGTAGTAGTAGTAGTAGTAGTAGTAGTAGTAGTAGTAGTAGTAGTAGTAGTAGTAGAAGTAGTAGAGTAGTAGTAGAAGTAGTAGAAGTAGTAGAAGTAGTAGTAGCAGTGGCAGTAGCAGTAGCAGCAGCAGGAGTAGAGTAGGAGTAGGAGTAGGAGTAGGAGTAGGAGTAGGAGGAGTAGGAGTAGGAGTAGGAGTAGTAGTAGTAGTAGTAGTTGTAGTAGTAGTAGTAGTAGTAGTAGTAGTAGTAGTAGTAGTAGTAGTAGTAGTAGTAGTAGTAGTAGTGGTAGCAGTAGTCGTAGTCGTAGTCGTAGTCGTAGTCGTCGTAGTAGTAGTAGTAGTAGTAGTAGTAGTCGTAGTCGTAGTCGTAGTCGTAGTAGTATTTTTGTAGTGGTAGCAGTACTAGTAGGATGAGGAGGCTGAGGGGGAGGATCAGTCTGTTTAGAGTGACATCCGACTGCCCAAGCTTCCTTGCTTTCCTCGGTCACGCGACCACGGAGCTGGCTGCCTCTTGGGGGTTTAGTTGACCTTCCCCAAACGGTGCAGACTCGTCAAAAAAGCGTCTCGATCAACCAGCCACAGTGCGCCAGGGGCTACTCAACAAGACTAAGTTACTAAGCTGGCGGTTGAGGAAGCCCAAGTCGATCCCAACCGAATGCAATCTCAGGCTGCAATAGGGCAAACCGAGTCAGAGTCTAAACTCGCCCCACCAGCGGCATCAACCCTGACCCACACCGATCCTGTGTTGAGATTTTGAGCTCACTCGAGCAATTCTGGTACGATGGATTCTTCCAGGCGGTTGGACTTGAGGAGGGGCACTGTAGCATAGGCGTGAAGTCACCAGTCTTGTCCCCAAGAGATCGGCCTTACGTCTAGCAGCTCGCAATAGCAACGTTGCCAGCCTTCGTCAGCCCACATCCGCCCCCGCCCACTGCTCAGAGATTTTCGGGGGAAGGTACCATGCACGCTCTCCCGCAAGCCACCATAGCCGACCCAGCCAAGCCACAACCCACTCTCGTGTCGGCCAAATGGTCAAATGTTTTCCAAGTTTGGAAGCGGCAGGGACCGAACATTTGGACACAAATCAATTTCAACCCCAGTTTCTTCCCAGCATCTTAGATCAGATGCAACGCTGACCCAACCAATCTTGATTGACATATGGATCGTGCAGCATGGTAGTGCAAGATCCCATAGTCAGTAGTCCAGTCTCCATGCTGTACTCTCAGCTCGTAGGCAATATTCGTATCTTTGGTGGGATGGCAGGATATCTCCCTCCCCCTTGAATCCTGCGACCCCTTACAGAGCACGCGGCGCATGGCAGGACCTGACCGGCTGCCTGGACTTGCTCAACGAAATTCTAGATGACCCAGCAGCTAAAGAAGCATCCAAGGCCAGGGTTACCGAAAGCCGAGGCTAAGTTAGAAGATCTTCGGGTGATGAAGCTTCGGTGCTACGAAGCTTGAGATTCGCAGAAGCAGCTGTCTGTCAGTGTGGCGATGGAACTGCAAAAGCATGTTGGGCCCTGTTGAGGCGCATGTGCAGCCGTTTGCATACCTGGCGCGGGACGCAGCGAAGCGACTGAAAGACAGATTGAGCATGACGGTCCAGGACACGATGCAAGCTTCAAGGCTTCAATTGCAGGGGTCTGCGTGTTGCAAAACAAACAGGCCGTTTCCTACGAGGCAGCTATTCTTCCATAGGGTCGTTGTGAAGCCTGTTGTCATTTCCTCATGTTCTCGCATCTGCAAGCTCTCCTACACCTCACATCTGTAAAGTGCTGCCTGTGTGCATCCAACAGGAGCCCAGTTGGGTTGATTCGGTTTCGCACCTGCAGAAGATCGCCGATAACGCAGAGAAGCGATTAACCAAGCTGGCAGCCCGACTAGAAGAATTTGAGACTTCAGGGTGGCATGGCCAAATTGCCTCCGACATCTAAGGAAGGATGACTGCACGAAGCGTTGCTATCCCACCAAGCAATTTTAGCACGTGTTGACGTGCTTCGACTTCGATGATTACTGGCGTGCCATTGTACAGGAGACAGATCCTCGCTCATGAGCACTCCAGGGACAGCCACGGGAAATATCAAAGGTAAGACCTGGCAAACGTCAAGCTTCTCCACCCACTCAGTGTGCTAATTGCCAGCTATTACAAATACTGGCGGCACTAAGCAGCGACTAGTCCTATGCTCTCAGTGCTCAGATTCTCGCGGAAAAGGCGGGCTCTTGTTCGCCACCCTGGCTCAAAAGTCTAACTAAGACTCGGTTTAGTCGTTTTCGCGCTGTGACATGGAGCGTGAAGCAAAACAGAGTACCCACCCACAGACACTGATCAGGACCCTTGCTTGCTTATTGGGAACTCTTGGTACGAGGTTTGGGGGCTGGACAGCTTCAGCAGTCATGATGCAAACACTTCCGTGTTGCAGCCTGTTGGGCAAAGCCTGGGTTGAAAAACACATACAGACATTATACCCATATTTATGTCTTTTTTTATGTATGTCTAAGTATTCCAGAGTTCGCTTTGAGCATGGACCCCCGTGGCTGGCATGCCTTGTAGTCGCAGCTGCAGGTCATGTTCGAGGCCTGGCGTGTGTAGGTGAATGGTTGCTTACTTGCTTGCACATCATTGCACATCCTTGACACCTCAACGCACACTATTCCAGACGTGCCAGCCACACGAGAACCGGAATTTTGTCATGCCATACCTTTGTACCGCTGCAGCGGAACGATTACAGAGCGTGTGCGAGTACTTGCGAAACCCAATGACAGACCGAAACCTCAAATATTCCCCGCAATGCGAGCTTCGCTTGTGGAGACCAACATCAACAACTGCGAGGCGTTCGCCGAACATCGTTATCGTTCGACATGAAGGTCGCAAACATATCCTCCAGTTTCATGCGAGGTTCTTGCACCCCAAGCTTCCCAAAGAGCCCTATGTCTGCTCAAGGCCTCTCTGAGTGTCAGAAAGCCACGGACCTCAGCATACCAAGCAGTGAGATTTTTACAGACCACCAGTTTTGTACCCCTAGTGTTAGAGTTTTGTACTCCTAGCCCTAGAAGGTGGGGCTGCCTAAGGCCCTCATATTTACGGCCACAGTGCGCAAGCCATTTGCGTGGAGAACCCGTGGCCCCATGATGTAACGTCATGCACGAAACCCCACGTTAAAAGGATGTCCACCGCTCTTTGTCAAGAACCTTCAATCTGACCCTCTCCGTGTCAAACGTCAAATTTGCTCCCTTCTTGAAACTACAGCGCTTTTGTAAATTCATCGTCGTCCCTCAGTTGAATCACTAGAAAAGCCCGGAAGCCACAACACATCAATTTCGATGCCTACAGCATTAGCTTCCTCCCCCGCAAACCCCACCCTCAACCCGATAACCCCGAACCTAGATCCTAAAACCAAGATCCACGAAACCTATCATCCTAAAACCCAACACCCATGAAGCGCGTGAAGGGGGCTTCCTCGCTACCTCTGGATGCCCGCAGCCGCAACAGTTTCCGGCCGGGCTTGCCGGAGGCCTTTGTCATTCATGCTGCGGGCTGTAGGGGTCTTAGATCAGGTTGAAGATGGTACTGCTACTACTACTACTACTACTGCTGCTGCTGCTACTACTACTACTACTGCTACTACTACTATTTTTTCAATTGAACGCTGCGCGAGCGTGCTCTGCGCTTTGCGGGCGCCTTTGGTCTCATGCACTCGTGAAACTGCTTCTAGCATGCATCGCTCAGGTCTCTCTAATCAGCTCGAACTTGACATACTACTTCAAATGCTACTGCTACAAAAAGCTTCCTTCTCCGACACCTTGGTGTGAACAGACGCGTCCATCTGTGCACCTGTTTCAACAAATAGGCCGTACCTCAGATGAGGCCGCCACCCGGAGTATCCGTCTCGTGGCGTCCCACACGGATTACTCATGTTGAAGACAGAAGGCCGTAAGGGTCATGTGCGGATGACCGCTGGTACCTGAAGCAATTTCGGTGTCGTGAGTCTTTGGGCAGCTATGATGCTGGCAATTCGCTGAAGCGCAAAGTGTTGTTTTAAGCGAGGCTAGTACGCGATTCACATTCTTCCGAAGAGATGTGCTAGGCGTCGGAAGAGTGCCGAATTCCCGGAGTCTGTGACATAAGGGATCATAGAGTCTGTGACATATTATCGCCCTCACTGGTCATGACCTTTTGGCCACTGCTGAGAGTATCCGTGCCAGGACCACTGTTGCCACCAGTCCCAGTCGTCGTCCTGAGATGAGCGTGCCTGTCTGGCCCACTGGGACGAGGAGGATGAGGAGGGGCCATCGCGCTGCCGCTTGCCCTCTGTGTCAGCCTCCTGCATCTGTGGGCGCTTGTGAGTTGCAGCAGCAGCCAGCTTGGCCATGCGCTTGTCCTCTTCGTTCCCTTTGTCATGCTGTATCCGCATCTTCATGATGGAGTAGGCATTTTTGTCGGGTTTGACCCGGAAGACACGAGCTGGGAGTCCAGCTGATTTTGCAGTCTCATTGTAGACTGCCACTATGGTGGTGGCGATCATATTGAATTCGACCCACGAGGGAAAGTGCTGCTGAAAAGCCTTTTCGTCCCACATCTTGTTAAAGCAGGCATGGATAAGGCCATGCACTTTTGTTGGTGCGTCCAGCTCGCGGTAGGCATCGCCCGCGCCTGTGGCGATGGTGACCTTCCCATCGCTTGTGAGGACCCGCCTCACCGACATGGCGGTGTCCCATGTGAGGCCGGTTTGCGTCCTGACGGACTTGATGGCAGAGAACAGCGGCGGAACCTCTCGGAGTGCTTCCATCCTGGTAGACCAAAGGGTCTGTTGTTCCTGGTTGGTGAGGCCGCCAAGAATGACCGGAGCCACCAGGATGTTGATGGAAGCTAAGGCCCGAATCCAGTCTTGATGGGACTGGGAGCTCAGCAGCTGAGCCAGCTCCTGCCGCGTGTAACGTACTGTCAGCCGTGGAGCCGGCTGTGGGACATAGCCGACGAGTTCCGCATTGGATTCCGGAGGCTCATATGCTGACGGGGGGCGGGAAGAGGGAGGAGGGGGCGTGTGGGAGCGCGGAGCGGCCTGGGTGGCGGGGGTTGGAGGAGAGACGGATTTGGGGGGGTGCGGAAGGATCGGGGGGACCGGAATCGCAGGAGGGGGGGCTGGTGCCGCCGATGAAGATGAGGGCGGGGGGCATTGGGTGGCCACCAAGGGCGGTGGGGCCTTAACCGGAAGCGCCGGGGCCGCCTTCGGTGTTTCTGCTTGGCCTGCTTTGAAGGCCGCCTTTTCAGCTGCTGAGGAAGTGAAAGGGCAAGGGGGGGAGGGTGGCGGCTCAAAGCCGGCTGCTTTGTCTACGCCTTTGGTCCTGGTACTGCTGGGGGGAAGAGGAATTTCCTGTGGGAGCTTGGGGGGAGGAGGAGGGGGGGGAGAGTGGGGGGCTGGCGTGGCACTGAGTGCTGGGTTGTGCTTCTGAGTGACAAAGTGGTTCTTAAGGCCGTGGCTAGTGCTGAATTGCACCTGCCTGTTGTGCTTGCGGCAGTGCAAGCAGCATAGCCACATGTCCCCCGAGACTTTCACTTGCCCTAATCCTCGAGGGATAAGCTCCAGCACATCCTGCTCTGTAAGGTCTTGATTGTAGTGGTGGGTTTCACGGACCGTAGCCATGATCTCTGCAAAGGAGTTGTACTGGATGCTGTCGGCCACATAGGCTTCAATATCCTCCTGAGTGGGAGGAGGGGGAGCCGATGAGGCGGTTGCCATGGTCTGTGACCTAGGTGGCTGTGGTGAGCTGTGCTCTTCAGGTCTGTCAGACTGGATTTCAAGGGAGATGTCAGGGAGTTGGCTCTGCAGCATGCGGTCTGTGCGTTCCTTGGTGGTTGGGTCTCCCTGAAATCCCTTCAGCCACTTCCAGCAACGGGTATATGCAACGGTCGTGTTGTTGGTAGTCACGAAGTAGTGGCCATCATTGTCGTACTTCTTGTTCTTCACTCGCTTGTCCCAGCGCTCCGAGAACAGGTAGATGGGGCCGAATTTGGTGGAAACATTCCATCCCGGCTGAGGGGAGTGACCAAGGTCACGACCCAAGATCTGCCAAAGATATTTGCAGAAGGTCATGTATTCCAAGTTTGCCTTCGCTGTCATGACCTGACGGCTGAAGGCGTGCTGTATGGCTTCCCTCATCAAGGGGTGTCTGGGCTTGCCATAGATGATGCCTTGAAAAATGTGATCTCCTTTGACTCCGATGGCCATGACCATGAATTCCTGTGGGAGTTGGCCAGGTGGGGAGGGTCTGTGACCCACTTCACCTGCCTTCTTTGAGTGAGCTGTGCTCCAATCTGCTGCGAGATACACGAGTACCTGTTCCCAAGGTACCACGAAGCCACATTTGATGTCGACGTAGAGGCCGCCGTGCTGGTAGTGGTAGACGTATCGAAATACGTCTGCTCGATGAGCAGGTTGGCTGAGGCGATCCAGCAGATTGGAGCCGTACTTTCCTGCTAGTTGCCGCAGGGTAGCCCGAAGAACATCATCATCACAGAATCTGCGGGTGAAGCCAGCAAACATTTTGGCCGCGACTTGGGCCGGTTCCGGCTTTTCGTCGTGAACGTAGGTCTGGAAGAGGAGGGCTGGGACAGGGGCGGCTTCCCATTCTGGGAGATGTGTGAAGCGCATTCCCCAGGGGCCATGTCCGTATTGCATGGCTACCTCTGAAAGATCACGGACCGTTCGGCATTGTGACAGAGCCTGGGCAGCTAGCATTTCGACATGCATGTCCTGCTCGCGAGCGTTCCAACCAGCGACCACGAGGACAGGCAGGCCTGGGGTGTTGCGCATTTCCTCGATGGCTCTGGTTACAAGCGCCGGGATGACAATGTCCGCGACGTCGGGGCGGAAATGAAGGTTCTTGGAGTTGTAGAGCCATTCTACCCCTCCTACACCAGGCATCTGGGCCAGGTCCATGATTTC